GAGAGAGAGAGAGAGAGAGAGAGAGAGAGAGAGAGAGAGAGAGATCATTTGCGCATTGAAGCTAGGAAGCCACTAAAAGAACTTCGGGTGCCCAAAGCCGGAAGAATTTGAGGAGCAAGGGGGCACTGGAAGATAACCCAAAGTTATCCGTCTAATGCAAACAGATGACTGATGAAATATTCGATCCACAAATGGTAGGGCCAGAATGACAAATCTCCCGGGCAGAGCAACTTCAAGCAACTGAGGCAGAAACTCCACTTTCATGGAAAAGAACCTGGTCTCTGCACTCTGAAATATGGGCTGTGCAGACAAATGGCCAGCTCCTTCAACAAAGGACTGTATGGAAACAAGGGGAAAAGTAGTTTTTACCGCACAAGGTCAGACAGAACACTGAGGGTGTGTACTCTTAAAACGCAGGTGGAGGTAACACTTTACCCCTGGTGTCTTTCTCCTCCATGCCCCAGGCTTTCATTTCACTTTGCTTTTTGTTTGTTTAGTGTTTTGTTTTGTTTTATTTTGTTTTGTTTTGTTTTGTTTTGTTTTGTTTTGTTTGAGACAGTTTCTCTGTATAGCCCTGGCTGTCCTGGAGCTCTCTGTAGACAAGGCTAGCCTGGAGCTCAGAGATTCACCTGTAAGTGCTGGGATTAAAGGCATACACCACGATCTCCCAGCTCACCCTAGCCTTGTCAGGAAGGAAATACCAAATGAAGCCCAGCAGCCCAACACCCTTAAAACCCCCTAGCTATGTGCCTGGGAAGTGGCTCAAGGGGTAATGCGGTTGCCCTTTAGCCTGAGGATCTAAGATTCCCCACAACCCACATACAGATGCTGTGCCTGCAGAGCCTTGGTGAGGAAGAGACTAGAGCATCCCTGGTAATGCCTGGCCAGCCAGGCTTACATCATTGGTAAGTTCCCTGCCAATGAGAGACCTAGTTTCAAGGCGATAAATGATGCTGTGACAGTGAGTAGAGGTTGGCTCTGCTCCCTCTGTAGACAAGGCTAGCACAACCAGGCCAAATTCATTTGCAACCCCCACCCCCAATGCATGACCAATATTATTCACAGCTGTTGAAAGGTCATACAACAAACATTGGAAAAGAATCTTAAACTGCCACAAAAAATCCCAAGAAGGCTGGGAGGTGGGATTCAGAGTTAAGCAAAAACAAAGGGACAGGGGCATGACCCAGCTCTTGGTACTTGGTGCTCTTGCAGAGGACCTCAGTTTGGTTCACAGCACCAACATGGTAGCTCACTAACTCCAGTTCCAGGTGATCCAATGCCTCTCCTAACCTCTGTGGTTGCCGGGCACACACATGGTATACATACAGTAGATAAAGGCAAAACATTCTCACATGTAAAACAAAAAGAAAGGAATCTTTGAAAATGAGAACAAAACATTCTGGGAATCTGCCTCGAACTTTAGTTAAAGATGGCGGGAGGAGACTGGCTTCTCAGCCAGGATGAATCTGTCTTCTTAATGTATGATCACCATAGAAGGGGAACCTAGAACGGAAAATATGGGACGGCATCAGTTCTGCAACATGTGTGTGTGTGTGTGTGTGTGTGTGTGTGTATCTAAGAGTGTTCTAAAAGTGGTTTTTAAACTTGTGCTGGCAATGTAAACACAGGCCTTAAGCACGGTAGACAAGTGTTTGACCACCAACCCCCAACCTCCCAGCACTGATTATTTGAATCAAAACAAGGCTAAAAAAGCTGTCTCCATGGTAATTTGATGTGGACCTTTGGGACCTGGGAGGGACAGATGTAAAGATCCCGAAGCTGGACTACTCTTGCCTTCCTGGAGAACCATCAGCTTGCTGGAGCCATCAGTGCAGGGGAGATACAGAAGGTGGAGTGGCAGGCCTGGGCTAAGGATGGAGAAGGGGGCATGGAGACCTTCATGGTCTCAATTTGGCTTCCACTGAGATGCGATACAAAGAAGAACTTCTAGCAGAAGGGAGACATGATACGGCTTTTCTACCCTCCACCATTCTGTTGAGGCTAGATTAGAGACAAAGAGAAGCACTTGGATATGTTAGGGAACTGTGGCAGATTTTTATTTGTAAATTTGACTGAGTCTCAGGGTGGCCAGATATTATTCTAGATGTGACCATAAGGGTGACTTTTGGATGGGGTTAAATTTGAATTAGTAGCTTCAGTAAAGCAAATTGCCCTTCCCAATGCAAGCTGGCCTTATACCAACTGCTGAAGGCCTGAATCAAATAAAAAGGCTAAGGGCCAATTTCTTTGTCTGCCTGTCCTTGAAGTGAAACCTTGGAATTCTTTTGTCTTTAGACTTAAGTGAAGACTTGAACTTCCCTTATTGGTTCTTCTGTTCTTCTTGCCTTCAGGATTATCTTGGAACTGCACGATGACTTCTGGGTTACCAGTCTGGTGACCAAAGCTCTTGGGACTTCCCAGCTTCCATAAATGCAGGAGCCAATTCCTTACCATGCATAGGCATATGTATAGGGCAGCTCTCTGTATCTTCTATTTGTTCCGCTTTGCTGGAAAATCCTGAGTCACAAGAAAGCATAGTGGTGGAACAGTAAGAAGCCATGGGGTTCTGGCCACGTCCTCAAAAAGAGGACTTGATGCTAAAAGGATGAAGGGCATGAGAAAAGAGAATGAAAAATGAGTCATTTTTTTTGCTCAGACCAGCTAGTAGAACAGGGGCTCCTACGCAGATCTGGGGAGGCTATCTCAAAAGTTGTAAGAATGTGGGGACAGAGGATGCTGGCATGTAAAAAAAGTCCATATTGAAGTGTTTGTGGTGGGGCCAGAACCAGATGGCTTTGTTAATACATCTGCCATGAAAGCATGAGGACCTGTGTTTGGATCCATAGGATACATATAAGAAGTTTGGCACCATGGCTTGCTTCTGTAAACCCAGCACAGGAGTCAGCATGGGGGTGGGCGGTAGAGACAGGTAGATTCATGGAGTTCACCAGCAAGCCAGCTTAGCCAACAGATGAGTCTTGTGTCAGCAAAAGACACACACATATACAAAAGGTAGAATGTAATAGAGGAAGATACACACTGTCTACTTGCATGCATATATATGTGTACATGCACCCACATTCATATACCCATACAAAAACTATACAAATTTCATCCCCCAACAGACGATCACTCATCCCCACTTTTAGAGAAAGAGTCTCATGTATCACAAGCTGACCTTTAAAATTTACCACAAGAATGACCCTGAACTTCTGACCTTTCTGGAGCAATTTCCTGGAGTGCTGGGTAATGGTTCTATGTGGGGAATCAAACCTAGAGCTTCATGCATATAATAGGTCCCTAGACCTTAGTAGGTTCCCTTTAAAGTAGACTTTAGCCCAATTGACTCCATGATAGAAGTGCCATTCAGGCTAAAAAACTCAGCACATAGACAGTACCACTGCCAAAACTAAAACAAAGGTGTAATCCATCAAAGTCCATAGTTCTGGGAAGGTCCTTAAATGTACTAACTTTGCTTTTTTGGCTTTTGTATTTCTACTTCTGGCTAATTGTTCTGGATAACTGAAATATATCTACCCAGAACATGGGTAGGCCTAAAAGCTTGGGGGGCCTAAAAGCTCATCCTGAGAAAGGCTTGGATCCCAAACAGACCCTGATTCAAGAGAAGACATAGAATGATAGACAGAGGCATTCAACATTGTCCTCTGGTCTCTGCATGTGCACACAAGAGCATGGGCATCAGTATATGCATTCATAACACACACGCACATGCACACACACACATCTATTCAAAAGTCTGAATGTAAGACCTGAAGCCTTGAAACTGCTTAAGGAAAACACTTCAAGATATAAACATAGGCAAAACCTTTCTGAGTCCAACTCTAGCAACCCAAGAAATAATCTCAGGGTTTGACTGACTTACACAAAATGAAAAAGTTTCTGCATAGCAAAGTGAATGACCCATATAGATGGAAGAAATACAGGATGTGAAAAGAATTTGCCAACTACCACATCAGACTGGGCTTCATATCTAAAATATATAAAGAACTGCAAAAATTAAGTACTCTATACTAA